CCTCCCTTTATATTTCTAATATTGAACTTTTTAGTCAAGTACAGTTATATGAAAGCTATAGTTTCTAATTACTTACAAAACATAGGAGGATTTAATAAAATATAATGAATTATTAACCTTCCCAAAAGTGTAAAATTGTGATTCACCTTGAGCAGCTGCAACAAAATCATCCAGTAATATCTAATATAATAATATAACACTGACAGTCATCTGTTGCACAATGAGCAAATTTACTTTTCATACTTAAAATACATTTTGCTATTAAAACTTCCAGACTTTACTTAAAGGACCAGAGTTTAGGATTTAGTGTCATCTAGTGGTGTAGTTGCAAATTGCAACCCAATCGTTTCACCCTCCCGTTTCCAAGCATGAGGAAGAAAAATGGTGTGAAAAAAAATAGTGAAAAGTCCTATTTATCTAGAACCAGTGTTTGGTTTGACTGTTCTGGGCTACTGTAGAAACATGGCGGTTCAACAAGCCGGCCCTCCAAGGAAGGCGACCTGTAGATAAAAACGTCTCATTCTAAGGAAACCAAAACACACACATTATATATATTATACACTAATGAAAACATACCTTTGAGTATTATATTAATTTCTGACAATAGATCCTCCTAAATGTTGCACACTAGATCTTTAAGTACAGTTTTGAATATCAGCTTGGATTGCATTGGAGTAAAAGTAAATAATATAACTTCTCCCACCACTGGATTTAAGGAGTGATGTGGCACAATTTATTTTATTTCCATGCATGTCATAAAAAGAGGTATTCATTTAAAAGTAATAAACTATGGTCTAACTATTTGGCCAACCTCTCATCTTGTGTCTCCACACATCCTGCATTCATATTAGTGGCCAGTGTAATATATTAAACTAATACAGTTTGTTTTTTATGAGCAAATTTCCTCTGTTGTGTTTTTTTCCATATTTAATGACTTCTTTGCCTGCAGTGGACCTGGATTTCTCATTTGGATAAGTCACAGCATGAAAGCAGCAGACATTATTACTTTTACAGGACCGAGCATGACTGCAACATCAATTAAATCCACAATCTCATTCAAAAACCGTGTAATTTTACGAGCTGTGTAAAGATTTTTTTGCCTTGCAAAATGAGACACACAAAGCTCAGATTTCCTGCTGCTAATGCCACTCTCGGATGACTTTTCTGAAGATGCAGAACTTAGCTCATTAGTGAGCATTGAACCAAACAGGAATTGTTCACAGTGGCTAAGTTCAGTGTCTGACATGAAAGAATGAGCTCTCGCACACCTGAGAGGCCACGGCCGTCCCTAAACAGAGAGGTAAGGGACAGAGGATGCACGAGAAAGAAAAAGGCGGGGACACCTGTTCTGTAAAACAAAGAGGAATGCTGTAAAAGTCTTTGCATGTCTCGACACACTGTAAAGTAGTCAGCTTCCCCTGAGTTATGGGGCGTATGTTAAGAAGAAGAGGAAAGGCCAACGATGGATGACAGAGGTCAGTGTGATTTGTGAAGCATACTGATTTATTAACGCTGTTTTTGGAAGAACATAAATCTGAAGATTTTCCAAAATAAATCTGATTTCAGTCAATATGAGCAATATCAGTGTGTCGACCATGGACTTACTTTGCCTCTCAGAGTTTAAAATAGAACCGTAGCTTGTTAAATTTTGTACTTTCAATCATTTTGGGATTGAGTTGTGTACTCCTGTGCCTACTGAACTGGATTCAGTGTGTCTTTGCAGAACTGGCTCAGTCCAGCAGGAACAAGAGTGACACCTAATGTGACACCAGCAGTGCTAACGAGGCCGCTATCATCGTCCCAATTAAAATAATCAGAAGGAACACATTGGAAATGACCACAAACATGTTTATCACAGCACCTAGCAGCAGGTATTTTGTCAGGGGTGATGAATTTGCAATTCTGACACAAAGAAATGGTGTGTGTGTGTATATAACTGTGTGTAAAAGAGTGTGTGTGTGTGTGTGTGTGTGTGTGTCCTCTGCGGGTGAATCTGGCTGCCTCTGCAGGTAGTCGTTATCAACAGCAGCTGATTTGTGCTGAGTAACACTTTATGTTGCCTCTCTTCATTCCTCACACTATAATAAGCTGTCAGTGTGTCTGCGAACCTCCTCACTAAATTGGGACACACCGGCTCAACACCTCTGCAGTCATTATATAGCTGAATGGACAGGCGCCGCATTAGCATAAGCAAAACTGATCATCGTAAGAAATCATATTGATTTTGGATGTCGTGTGAACAATTACTTTTCACCTTGGGCCTCCTTCATGTGGACTAAAAAAATCTGCAGACCTGCAAAAATTAATATAGTCTACTCAAAAAAAGAATAAAATATTGTTGAATTGCTATAAGATTTCACATCGATTTCTTTCTCTTTTTTTACACTGCAATTACATATCTGTGGCACCTAACTAAATCCATGTTGAGAAAGCATAAAATACAGACAGTACTGTGCTGCTTCCATTATTATTATTCTTACCTGAAGGTATAAAGTGCACATCTAGAAAGATTCTTCTTTCTTATTCTGTTTTTATGGTTTGAATTATTCAGAAAATTATCGATTAAAACATTTCTCCAAATAAGCTTTTTGTGTTGTTTTGTGTGATTTACTTTAGCTTGATTAGTTTTGGTTTCCACCATGCACTTTTGTTTATTTATTACTTACTTACATCTTTTTTTTATTAAATGTATTGTTTCTCCCCCTTCCATATGCAATTAAATGTTATATGCTGTATTTCCTCTGTAATGTTTGTGTAAATCCCTTTAAATTGTCTAAAGAAAAGACTCCCCTTGCCTTTATTGTTGTTAATGGCAGAGGTTAAATTGTAGGAATATTGTGGTTACCAGGAAGAAGAGGTAAAAAAAATGTGTTCACATGTGAAGGTGAGATAATAAAACTGGCAGACCTTATGTGACCTTTATGTTCGCTATAAAGGCACCAACACAACACAATACACTTCACAAAATGTTCACTGCAGATTTGCATTATATTGCACAGGATTGGACAATAAAAGCATCACCTGTGCAAAATAAACAAAATAAATTATCCAGTGAGAACAGTAAGGCCAAATTATAGTGAAACCCAGGCATAATGAGGTCATTATAGACTTAATATTCACGGCCACAATGTTGAGCATTATAATGGATCATTTATATTATTTACAAATATGTTATTGAGATTTATCATCAGGAGGAGCAGCTCTACAGGACACATTCTGTAAACAGTAGCTTAAAATAACCTCACATAACCCATCAATGCTGCTGAAACATTTACAACATTTATACTCTATCTGTTGTTAATGACTGATCTTCCCCACTACTTCTGGACAACTCGATGGATCCCCAGGGGCAAACAAAAAAGGAAAATAAGGTGTCCTTTGTACCGTGTGCAATCAATAAAAAGAACAAACAGCATTAAAATATCTCTATGACAGGACAATTATTTGCATCAACTTTTGTACATGTATTTCTGTTTTGTTTTTTATGAGGCAAAGACACATTTACTGCCCTGGTAGGACAATAAAGTTCTAGTTAATCTTTTATCTATTTTCTATCTATCTCGTCTATTTTTTCTATTCTATTATATTCTGTTCTTTGCCAGTCTTAATTTATACTTAGTAGAAAATACTCGACACTACTGGAAAGTGCATTTAGTACAGAGAAATATTTACTACTTTTTATTTTATACCTTCAGTTACTAAATACTTTGCAGATTCAGATTCATATTACAAAATATAATCAACAAATAAATGATGATATATCATAATTATTGGTTAAGAAAACTGATCCCTTGGAGGAAAATTCAGAAGCTCTCCTATTAATAATTAGTAATTAAAATTAGCTCCAACTTTACCAGCTACAACATTAAAGCACATTAATGCATCATTAATTTTAACATACATTATTCTGAAATGAGCAATTATGCATATTATGTACTTTTACTCACGGTACTTAAAGAACATTTTGATGATCATTTGTATTTTTACTCAAGTAACATTTTGAATGTAGGACTTTGTAGTTCTACACTGTTTTTTTATACTTCTTCACATTGAAGAGCTGAAAACAAAATATATTCAGTCATTCATTTAACAAAGTATGCAGTCACAATAAGCAAAGGGCTAATAAACAATGAGAAGAAAAAGTTTTTTGTTTTTAAAAAAGGAAAATACAAACAGAGAATTGTATAAAAGGTTCCTACAAATATAAGGAAAACGTATCTTTTTATTGGAAATAATCTGATCAAAATTGTACTGTTACTGTTGTGAATTGAGTATAATATGAAATATCTATAACATATGTCACTTAGTCTAAGATTGTCAGTTATGAATCAATGATAGAAAAGGGGTCCTTTAAGGCAGTGGTTCCCAACCTGGGGGTCGGGACCCTCACTAAAGGTCACCAAAGCCTAATGGAGGGTCGGGAGCCGGCCTTCCTAATTTTAAGCTTTTTTTTTTTACATTTTGAGAACAATAAACAGAAGGCTAATATCTCAGCATTTAGGTCACTTCTGTGTAAGTAAAATGTTAATTAAATGTTTTAATAGAACAATGGTCAAGTGTCTGGGACAAGAAAACACTGAATCTTTTGTTTTTGTTTATTTTATATTAAATACATAATGCAAACAGAGATTTGTATAAAAATTTCCCTAAACTGGAAATAATCTGCTCAAAATTCATCATAATCAGACCTGTGGCCCTTTGCTGCGTGTCAACCTCCCCATTTCCTATCACTATCCATTAAAGTCAATAAAAGCCCCAAAAATACAGTCAATTAATATAGTTAATTGTACAGTTTATTTTATTATATTATTTTAATATAATATGAAATATCCATAACTTTATAAACATGACTGTGTGTGTGTGAGATGTGATATTGGTTGTAATACCTCAAACGTCCACTGGGTGGCGCTCAAACCACACAGCTCGACCATAATAACAGATGAAGTGAAATAAACTGCTCATTCGTATTTCTCTCTGCATTAACTTCTCCTCCTCGGTCCTGTGGAAGTCTCTCTCTCTCTCTCTCTCTCTCTTATAAAGTCCAGTGATGTTTTTGTGTTTTCTCTCAGCAGTTTTCTCTCCTGTTGGCTAAAGAGTGACATCTCTCAGGTCAGTGAAGGGAAACACATCTATTTATTATCGACGGGTGTGTGTGCGTGTGTGTCAGTGAGTGTGTGTGTGTGTGGAGAAAATAATCTAGGAAGTAACATTAGCCTGAAGTTTTTCGACCAGGACGCCGAGGAGACGCTGAACCTCCTCAAGAAAAGAAACAAAGTCATTTTATTTACGAGCAACAGCGTCGCCGAAGTGCTGGAGAAAAGTTTCTCCTTCGCCATTTAAAAACCGTGAATAAGCTTTTATTTTTGGTTTCCTTTGGTTCACCTTTTTTGTTGGAAAGCTCAGGTGAAGAAACTTTATATATTTTTTTTTCCTTCTTTAAATTGTGTTTGGAGTCCGTCAACGCTTCCTCTCTTCTTCGCTTTCAGGAGTATTTCGGCTCTTTAAAGATGAAATTGGTGTTTTATTCCTGGAAAGGTGAGATTTATTTTGACATTTTTAATCCCGCTGGAGTTTGTTGCTGTTAGTCATTTTTGTCACCTGGACGGAAGTGTATGTGGGAATTTTGATTGGGAAGAAGAGGAAATGTTAATGATCGACTTGTTCAGGGAAACTAGGCAAACAAAGATGTTTTTATGAAAAGAAATTATGCTTTTTTTATATATAAAAAAAAGTTTTTGTAAAAAAAAAGTATGAGTGTCCAAATTGAGATTAACCTGTACTTTTACCTTTATTTCTACTCTGTTTGTCTTCATTTTGAGACATTTGGTGACATTATGTGTGTGTTTCTGCAGTGGGAGCTGGCAGAGAGTGTGGGCAGTGAGGTATGCTGAAGCCTCCCAGTATATCTGTAAATCAGGATGAGCACTACAGATGGAGCCGGGGCCCCTGAGCGGGAAGAAGAGGCCCGTGTTGTGCAGATCTACCCCAGGCTGCCCCTGGACACAGCCGCCTACTGTCCCCTGCAGGTCAGCGGCGGGGACACTACGAGGACGGTCATCCACAATGCCGTGGTCACTCTGGGCCTGGACACCGACCATAAGTACGTCCTGCTGGAGGTCAGGGAGAGCGGAGGAGAGGAGAGGTTGCTGGAGCCTGGGGACTGTCTTTTGGAACGAGTCCTGCTGTGGCCACCGAAGACACAGAAGTGGCACCCTCAGATCCAGGGGTACTACTTCATCCTGCAGCAGCAGCAGGGCAAGAATGGAGGCCAACACGTAGAAAGCGGCCGAGACTACGATGACCTCTGTAACCTCCAAACTGTGAGCGAGGAGAGTATCCTGAAGGCTTTACGCCAGCGCTTCTACAAGCTTAAAATCTACACCTACGCCAGCAACATCCTCATCGCCATGAACCCCAATAAGTTCCTGCCTGTTTACTACAATCCCAAGTACGTCAAGATGTACGAGAACCAGCCGCTGGGCAAACTAAGCCCTCATATATTCGCCATAGCAGACGTGGCCTTCCATGCCATGCTGAACAGCAAGGTCAACCAGTGTATTGTCATATCTGGCGAGAGTGGCTCAGGGAAGACTGAAAGCAGCAGTTATCTCATCCACTGCCTGACCGCCCTCAGCCAGAAGATGTACTCCTGCGGGTTGATTCGCACCATCCTCGGGGCCGCCCCGGTGCTAGAGGTAGGTTACTGTGAAGCTGGACACCCCCACACATCTGTTGTAGCGCTCAACATCGTTAACTTTGTTCAGGCAATAAGAGTTTGTGCCACCAGACATCTAATGCTGGTGGAGATCTAGTGCAAAACTGTCAAACCTTGTCCGGTTCCACGTTCTCAGATGTTAGGATTCATCACTTAAAGGGCCAGTTTGTAACATTTAGGAGGATCTATTGGCAGACATGGGATATAATATACATAACTATGTTTTCATTAGTGTATAATCACCTTTAAATAGGAATTATTTAGTTGCTGTTACCTTTTAGAATGAGCCTTTTATATCTACTGACACAGCAGAGTCCATCATGTTTCTACAGTAGCCCAGAAAGGACAAATCAAACGTTGGCTCTAGTTAGAGGCGTTTCCCGGCCTCCGTAGTTTCTCCTCCGAGTTTGGAAGGGGAGGGTGAACTATTAGATGCCACAAAATCCTACACACTGGACAAGACAAAGAATGGGAAGATGTTGCACTGGTGCTGGGAAATGTATTTATTTATTCTAAGTCTTTACTTCTTTTAGAGGTCAAGCCGTCCCTTTATTATGAAGAGTATTTTTGCACAGTCCTCAGGTGCAAACCAGTCAATTAAAGGTGGGGTCAGGCAGTCATTCTGGAGAAAGATAGTTGATTAGTGTCATTCCCAGGGCGTCAAATACAGACACTTTAGCAATCCAAAGTGTCTGTATTTGACAACCTGGGGCCACAATGTCAATTGTTGTGTTGTGTGGTTCTTTCCAGCCACTTTGTATGTTTCTCATTCACAATAACCCAAAGATGGTTATTCGACAACCTGGGAATGAGACTCCATCAAAAAACTATCTTTCTCCAGAATGACTGACTTTAATCCGATGATTATTTTTTTCTTGTTTATCATCATATGGTCCCTTCATAGTTTCCCAGAGCCCAACATGACATCTTCACATGTTGTGTGTTCCAGCTTCTTCCAGTTTCAACAGTCGAAAACCCAAAGAAATGTAGTTTACATTGATATAAGACAGAGAAAGCTGGAACCAGAGAATGAAAAATGTCTGTATTTATCAAGCTAAACTGCCAAAATGTTATCAAATGTGAGTTTTTACTGCTTAATATTACTGTAAATTCTATTTTTATGTTTCTTTTGGACTGTTGGTTGGACAAAACAAGCTATTTAAAGTCACCAATATGGCCCCGGAGAAATTGTGATATATATTTTTCACTATTTTCTGACAGACACCTCCAGTAATCAACAAACTAATGACATGAAATATAACTCGATGAAGTTTGAGCCCCTGAGAGCACATCGGTGTGACTGTAAACGCCCCTCACTGTTGCTATCTTTCACCCTACCAGAAACCAACTCGTGTGCATTGTTTAAGAAACCCAAAATGATGCTGCTGCTTTTTTCAGTTGATTTAGAGATCGATTATCTGCCTGGCACCGTGTGATGTGTCACGAACCAACACTCTGCCTTCCTCACTTGGTGATATGAGTTTGCTGATCACCAGATTAATGTGAACGTGTCCTTGTTTTGTGTCTTTGCATTTGCATTATACAAAGTGCCCCCTCTTGTTTCATTATCTATTTTTAGTCATGTTAATCACGTCTATTCAAAAGCAGAAAGTGGCAAGTCAAAAAAAAAAACACTCCCTCTTATACAGAAAGTATGTATCAGATTCATATGTTTTTTACTTCCTGCATTGGAAACATTGGTGTAATCAGCAATAACCACAAAACAGCTGCGTAATCTAAATCATGAGGGGCTCTATGGGATTTGTTAGTCATTCATTTGTAAGAGGAAATGCAACAAATTACAGAACATAAAGGATCACAGACATTTACCAGCTTGGAAAAGACAAAACTCTGTATAGTTCACACTGAACTTGTAGTATTTTTAAATAATCTGAAACTCAGACATTTGTAAATCAGAAACAGTAAAACCGTGTCTGTGAACTGGGAATTTACCACATAACCTCAGTTTCACTCTCACACATAGGTTAAAATACCTCTTTGTTGGCTGTAACACTGGTGTTGTGCTACAGTAAGCGTGTCAATGAGTAACAAGACGACACATTTGCCCACACTTCCCTGCGATGCGCGCTTTCTGTTTCAGACGTCTGTTACGTTACACAATGTGCAAACGGCAACTGCCATGAAACTAGGCCAAACATGTTTTTTATGGAAATACCCGCCTCATTGGGACAGCACAAACTTTGTGCTTACTTTTATTTTGTTTTTACTAGGAGCCTGTTTTCAGTGCTCAGAACCTGAGGACAAATCAGGAAGTTTAAAATCCACTATTGTGAAACCAAATGAGTTGTTTTATTCATGTTTTCAGAAGTTCTGCTTGTGGCTCTTTGCACCATTTCAATCTTCTTCCTGCACCAATATGTAGAAATTCTCTAGAACCTGAAGGTGTGAAGATCAGTGCACAAGTGGACGGTTTATCTGTCGTATCTACAGACCAATAACCTTTTGCACAAAGGACCCTCGCCTGCTGTGTTAGTTACTTTTCACACACCCACAGACACACACACAATCCCACGGGGGCCAGCTTTTCGTTAGAATATCTCTAAATATGGATTCTTCCTCTCTCCCTCTGAACAAGTCCAACAAGTTCCTCCTTGAAATAAGCAACAGCAAGTATTTTTCCTGTTAACTGATCTTTCTGGCATTCAGTTGTGCACTTGTCTTAATAGGCGTTCAAAGATGCAGAGATTTAGTTTGAGGAGGGAATGTGATTTTTTTATTTTCTTTAAACCGGATAAATAAGGAACAAGCTCAGTGAAGACAGAGGTCATGCCCGGCAGTTAGCCTTAGGTTAAACCAGAGGAGAACTTGCACAAGTGTTTACACCAAAGCTGAATATCAATAGAGGCCAAGCGGAGACATACTGACAAGATAGCGACTGTAGTAATGAGAATCAGTTGATGTATTAATCTGTTGTGTGGGGGTTGGCTGCTTTCCTAAATGCCTTTTGTTAACTTGGGATTTCCTTAACATACATGAGTCACACCCCTACATACTCATTCCTTTTTATTGAAATCAGAAAAGCGTGACTTCTTTCTCTTTGTTAACTGCTAATTCAATGTTATCTCATTTCACATCAATATAGTGGGAAATGCACACGCTTTTAATCTCCCTGATGCAAACCACGCTGCCACTGACTCATGCATTCAATGCCCCTTTTTTAAAATGTGGTAAGCAGTTAATATATCAATGTTGTATGTGGTTTTTTTTATTATTTTAAAATCAGGAAAAGAGCTGCATCCAGTTGGCAGCAGGTGATGGCACCTTGCTCTCATTAAGTATGGCGGGAACTTGTCAGACAGTGTTTTGCTCAAGGGTTTTTTTTCGTTGGGTGTTGGTGATCAGGAAGCTGAGAGCCGGGCTCCACAGGGGGAATGTGCAGGGCGTTGTCTTTGAGGGAACACCAGAGAAAGGGGAGGAGAGTAGAAACGTGTCAGAACAGGCTCAGCCAGGTCTGCTGGCAAACCTACACAACAAAGTAAAAAATCACCTCCATTCTCCCTCTTTCTTTCTCTCTGCTGAAACCCTGTTCACACAAATGCGCTCTTCCTCCCCCCTCTCACTCCCCTTTGTTCAGTTGGGTTTTAGGTCGGGGATCATGGATTCTCTGACGTCTGCATTTCAAGGCGGAATTCGGCTCCATTTTTCATATTTTAAACTCTTTTCTATTTCAGTTTCAACCTCTTATGTCTGAATTTTTAGGACACAGCTGTTACATATTGTTTGCAGCGTCCAGTATCCCACAATCTGTTTTGATGTTTAATATAATGTTCAGGTGATCCCTTCGCAACTCACAAAGTCAGGAAAAATCCCATGATCACATCATTTTTAATGGTCATCTATCACCAAACCTGATTGCCCCAGGTGGTTCGTTACACAGAACCATCTGGGAGGTAGTTGTTGGAAACTATTTGGAAAAGGGCAGGCATTTTTTAAAAATAACTTTGCAGGTGATTGGATGAACCAACTGTCTATCACCGTTTATCATGAGCGATCTTCAGCCAATCAGATCACAGAACAATATAACATCTTATCGAAGCCAGTCGGGAGAAGAGCAAAAACATCTGTTCCAGCCTTCAGTGTCGTTTTTTTTATCTTCCTTCAATTGAGAAATCGTCTCCACTACAGTGTCTTCTCACTGCGTAAGACCTAGTGTCCACCCCCTGCCAGTAGTTCTTAAAGGCGGCTGATTGATCCGGTAAACACATAGATTGAAGCCTGGCAAGTCCAGCTGTCTCGCAATGTTACAAACTAGAAGAATGAAAGCGCCCACGCAGGATGCTGGGCATAAACTTTATTGTTTGTTCTTTTTAGCAGCCTGGCTGATTTTCATTGTCAATGATTATTTCTATAGATTATTTGTTTGATTAATGAAAGATGCTCATCGCAATTACCAAATCTCTCTACAAATTGCTTGTTTTGTTCGACAACCCAAAAATATTAAATTTTATTCATGAGACAGAGCATAGAAGCAAATCCTAACATTTGAGAAACTGGAATTCTGAGAATATTTGACACCTTTTCTTAATAAACCAGTTTCTAAAATAAATGTATTCTGCCAACTCTGCCAAATTCCTGGTAATAAACTTGGAATCTTTTGACTTTACGAGCAGACCGGGTCTACCTGAATACATCATTAGTTTTTGTCTCTATTAGGAAAGAGGAGCAAGTTCAGCCTGGCCCTCTTCCTGATAGTATCCTTCAGAGGATCCAGCTCCAAAACTGGGACACCTGTTTCTCTCCCTGTTCCACATACCATCTTCACTCTTCTCTCTATGTGCCTTTCATTCTTTCCACATTGCATTCAGCTTATCTATATAAGTTTGATCCGTCTGGCTGAAAATGAAAGCCGTGTGTGTTTCGCTCACTGTATTTACATAGGTGCACTGGGGAGGAACATTCCAGCAAATCAGAGCTTTACCTGCCAGCGTGTGATCAGTACAGCATGCTCGCTGTCTGCGTAGGCATTACTCTGGCCTGTTCAGACAGGACCCCTCAGCATAGCTCACACTGGAATGAGTGGGAACATACCTTTTTATAAAACGCTGATATAGGATCAGTTTGGATTCTTCTTTTCCTGTGCCAAAGGTTCAAACCTGGGAAGTAGAAGCTGATCCAGAGTCAGCTGCAGCAAATGAGTGTCATTATACCCACTGACTTTGCCTGGGTGGAGTCATTTGTGTTGTTGATAGTGAAACCTAGTTACTGTCTCCAGTCACAGAATAACAATCCATGCAACTGTGAAATCATTTAAGTTTCCAAATAATGATTATCTTTGTGTGTTTATTTTTCTGTTGTTTAGGCTAGAAGATGGCGACGATTATTTAAATGAATTTGTCTGTACAACAGTTGAAAAATTAAGGTATTTAATTTATAATGATATGAAACAGATAAGGACATTTTTGAGTTGCAGGAACCAGCTAACAGTGGCCAGTTTTTATTTGATGAATTATTTAGAATAATAAATAAATCAGTTGTTAAGATAGTTTTCTGTGGTTGGTCTCACCAGCTGATTAATTTATTGTTTACCCAATCGCAATATTGGGGCAACAGTAGTAGTTTTCTTGTTCTTGCTCTGCTCTGTCGGCCGTGTAGAAGAGAAATAAATCTTTTATTGAAATGTAATAATGTTAGGTACACAGATAAAAAGAGCACTCACATAAGCAGAGCAGAAAGACTAAAGAAGGAACTGTGTTTTTAAATGAGAGTAAAACTCCACTCAGTTTATTCAGAAGCTTTATTAACAAACTTAACAAAAGGCTGCCTGATGGTGCTTCTATTTTCAGGGCCTGTGGCCACTCAACTATGTTCATAACAGATGTGTCTCCAGGTTTAACTGCATTATTGATGAAAACACTGAGAATGCATTGCAGATTACAACATCAAAAATCAATTTAGATTTCCAGAAGAGCAACGCTAACCCTAACCCATCAGTCAGGCAGTAGATACTAATATGGTTTTCAATTATTATCTAATTTGTCTTAATATTGATTCATTCACAGATGTTATGGAAAAAAGGTCTAAAATTCTCAGGTTCCAGCTTCTTAAATGTTAATACTCTGGTTTCTTTCTCTTTTACACTGTTGCTTAGACAAAACAACACGGGCTCTGGGGAGTTGTGATGAACATTTTTCACCATTTGCTGACATTTTATAGACCAAATATTGATTAATGAACCAAGACAGATTAACTGATGAAGAAAATAACTATTAGTTGTAGCTCTAGTTCAGCGTTAGACCAACTTGCTCTTTAATGACCAATAAGGTTGCTAATGGAAACAGTCCCATGCATCAACAAGTAAAACTGATTTATTTGGTATATGCTCTGCAAACATTAAAAGTGTTTGGGTCTGGGTGCCAGTGTCTGTGAGAAACGTGCCCACAAATTTGTCTGTTTATTTTAGTGAAAACGTATGTACCTTATGTTTTAAACAGGCTTTTGGCAACGCCAGGACTGCAGAGAATAACAACTCCAGTCGCTTTGGGAAGTTCATCCAGCTCAACTATCTGGAGAGTGGTGTCATCAGAGGGTAAGGCATCAAAACAGTTTATTTTGGTTGATATGTTTGTTTCATTTAACGGTTCATTTTGCTTCCTATGTCATCCTGGAACAATGTTGGCAACCCCGCCAACGCTTCAAAGGTTCTGTTGACATTCTGTTCTTGTGTGTTTCTTGCAGGGCGGTTATTGAGAAGTACCTCCTTGAAAAGTCCCGCCTGGTGTCCAGAGATAAGAGTGAGAGGTATGATGAAGACATTTTAAATCCTCACAGAAACTTTCTTAATTCACATTTTATTGTCAAAATCTGGGCATTGTTAGGGCGTCCTGGTAGCTCACCTGATCATGCATCGAGCAGGGGCCATGGGTTCCAATGCAACCTGTGGCCCTTTGCTGTCTATCTTCAGCTGTCCTATCTGATAAAGTAATAACAAAACCCCACAAAAGATCTGTCTGGGCATGGAAATTAATACTTCACGGATACAAACTTTGTATGATAAAGTTTGTACCTGAACCCTGACCTCCAGTATAAGCAGGCAACACTCGCTCACTTTGGATGAGAATCAACCTAACCACCTTTACAGTGCTGTGTGCAGTGAAATGTTGAGTAAACAACAGAGCGTGAAATTTGCCTGAGCCCTGATTGACTGTATCGGCCCTCTGTGATCTCTGTGACCCACAGGAACTACCACGTGTTCTACTATCTGCTGATGGGCGCGTCCAAAGACGAGCAGGAGGAGTTTCATCTATTAAAGCCTCAAGATTATCTTTACCTCAAGCAGGTACCTTTGATCCGCACATTTACAGCAGCACTCACAGAGAAAAGAGAGTGTGTCATTTACTGTTATCAAATGGGGAAAACCGGTGGTAGATGTTTTATAGAAGCAGACCCACAATATCTAGAAACTTCTCAACAGTAAATTATAGCGTGTCAACGTTTCCCCTGTGTTGGAAATAAAGACACTCTCGTATAACTGTAAAACTGCACTCTAACTAGGCTTACAGTGGAGCTGCTGTCCCTCAAAATCATTTTATTATATTGAGAATTGAAGATCATGTTTACATACTGATACCTCTGTCTGTTTAGTCCTGTTTATTTTTGTCTGGTGTGGCCTGACAACACCTAAAAGGGTTGGTCTCTGTCTGGTTTCCAGTGAGTGTACCAGTAAGTGTAGACAATGCAACATGGACCAACTACCGGCAATTTCACCCATCAGTTTCTGATTCAAAATCCAGTTTTTAGTAGCTCTTGATTTTTAATTTATGATACACTCCAGCTGCAGTCTCAACTAAATCTCATAACTAACTACTCCATGTTTTTGTTGTTGTTGTTGCTTTTCTTGGACATGAGAAAATGTATTTATGAAGCTCTTTAGTTTAGTCAGGTGCAGCATACTTTACTGTCACTCACACAGACATGCAAGTTTAATTGAGTATTTCCCAAGATGCAAAACTGTCCTTTAAGTTTCAAAGTCTTCAACTTTTGAAACTCAATTTCACATGTGAATACAACCTTGAACGTCTAATATAGTCATGCCAATTTATTTAACGAGCACGCTTTCAAATAACAATAAAAGTGTTTTATAGATAGAAGACAACTGCAATTACATAAAACTTAAAAAATGAACACAACAAACACAAGTTGCGTTTCATTTTTCAGAGAGGGTTCAGTTTATCTTGTTTCTACATTATTGACTATGTGTTTAGATCAACAGTGTTATCTGTATCCATGCACACACCTCTGTGGCTGTCCTTAATAGCTACCCCCTCTTTCTCTCAATATCTTATTGTTCTGCAGGAAGACCTCCACTTAGATGAGGAGAAACTTGAGCAGGAGTACAACAGGCTCCATCAAGCTATGGAGATGGTTGGCTTCCTGGCTTCCACCAAGAAACAGTATGTAACACAACCAGAATGCTGCAGGGTCTCAACCTAACCAGTGTACCTGTATCTACTTTTTTATGGATAGTCAACAGAAGGGAAAAAAATGTGAAATATGACTTCAAGGACACAAAAGTACATGCCATGAGTGTCTCAGGAATGTATGTTATAACAGTACAGCACTTGGTCTTCTAAGAGGGGGAAAGAAAGCCAGGAATTACAGAAATATTTGCTGGACATGGGCCAGTGACATTTCACTGTTTTCAGACAGTGTTTACAGTGTTTAAAGTGACACTGCACAGCTCTCGGTTAGCTGTGCCAATCTAAAAACAATGTAGGTAGGCAAAGTAATTTGTAATTCTACTGAACACTATCGAAGAGTTTCTGCTTTCTATACTGGTGTCATTAACAGGTCAGAGCTTGTCAAGTCAAGCAGGAGAAACTATGCAGCAAGCATGTCGATGAGCGCTTGACAGCCTCGGGACACAGCGTGCACATAAAAGCGACAGCAGCATAGTTTCTAACCTGTTTAGGTTGGTTCCACACTAAAGACACAGTAACTGTTAAAGTATACAGAGCAATGTATGTTAATGTTGCATATTTAATAAAGGTGTTCATGCATTTCTTAGCAAACGCCTCTAATGCAGTTACAGAGATCCTGGGGAGAATCAGTTGTGCACGGAGTAAAGTGCATGAAATAAATACAAATAGTGTGTTAAGGCATATTTTTTCTTACATTTACAGTTGGTTGAACTAACTCAGTAACTCTTGTACTGCATGTTTCTGTAGCTGATGAGTTACATGAATGTAGAAAAACAGATAATACTGTTTCCTTCTACCGTACTAGATGTGCTTTGTAGAAGGCAACACTGATATGTTTACACAGCAGTGTTTAGCCTACCAGATACTGTTGTCAGTTACAAATGCACTAACTGGCGAACTGCTCACAAGGTTGAAAGAAACAGAAAAAGAAAGTTAATAGAGATAAGAAAAGATACAAATGTGCAGTATTCAGTATGTATGACAGTGTGAGTTATCAGTCCGTAAGAAGTAAAGCAGAATAGATAATAAACTGCTAAACTGAAGCCTGGTTTGAAGTATGTCAGTCAGATTTGTTGTTGATTGTTCATTGTTGTCTTTCACTAAATATACTCAACAGTGCAACTAAAGATACACAGCAAGTAAAAATTCAGTCTATGCATTTCAGACGGAAATAATTGGGGTTGATGGTTTCCTGTGTCTGCCCCAATCTACTTCATTCCTGTAGCAGATGAACACACAGTGAAAAAGCATTGAAGTCAGTTGTTACATCACCTGTTATCACCTCCATTATAGCTAGTTAATTGAATTCCACCTAAAAAACACACGTATGCCATCTGTTTATGTATGTGTGTGTGTGTGTGTGTATTTCTACTATGCAGCATATTCTCCATCCTGTCTGCCATCCTGCACCTGGGCAATGTGACGTACACACTGTCAGAGGACACTGAAGTCCTGGAGGTCGGACCTGCTGAAGTTTTGTCCACTCTGTCTGACCTGCTCAAAGTACGTACCTAAAGTGCAACAGAGGATTATGTTAATTATGTTAACCGGTGATACATTTATACCCACTGCTAAAAAATCATCTTGATTTATTATCAGGAATCTCCTGTTGAGTTCCAGTTAAACAAAACTATGTACTTGTGATAAAGTCACATTACCTTTACTCAGGGAGCAGAGCAATTCCTTGAGATTAACTGCGTCATTGCTACACCTAAAATAGCTCTTAAGAACGAACATGTTTCAACCTGTTCTGTTTGTTAAATACAGTAGTCAGTAGTGATTTTCTTGTGGACTAATAATGCATCACTGTGAACTGCCGTTTATTTGTAGGTGAAAAAGGAGCTACTGGTGAAGACTTTGACCAAGAGGAGAGTAGTGACTGCCAATGCCAGCGTGGATTCACAGTACACACTACAAGAGGTACTGAGTTTAAATTTAATATTCATCCTGCGTAACACTCAGTTGTGTCTGGTATTGTGGTTTGCATTAAATTTTAAGTTATTACCACTGTATTTTAATTTCAGTTGAAGTTATAATTTGCTAATTTTGTGATGTTTCTGCACGTTTAGGCCCCCACAGTGCGGGACTCCATGGCCAAGTCTTTATACAGTGCTCTGTTTGACTGGATCCTCCTTCACATCAACCATGCAATGCTCAATAGAAAAGACATGGAGGTGTCAGTCTCTGTAAGTCACATGATGCACTATTACTACTAAGTGCAAAAAACTGCTATATTGACCGCAGGAGGCCTAAATCTTTAGTGACAAGGATAAAATGTTTTCAATAGTTTGCATAATTTTGACTTAAAAGTTAATTTAAATGTAGAGCTTATATTATATTTAAATTTAACAAATTATCGAATTTTTCCACCACTAGTTTTTAAATGCATTTCTGAAGCACTGAAAACTATAAAATGTCTGTTAACACATGTATCTGAAGTCGTATTAAAGTTCCATTATTCATCAAATATACACTGTAGGTTTAGCAGTAAATCTGCAGCCTTAAAATAGCCAATTAATTACATAATCCTGTTTGCTGCCTGTTGTATGTTCATTATGAATTGTTCTGTTTGTTGTTGTTGTTTTCTTTTTTTTTTTTTAGTGTTTGACCATTGGTGTCCTGGATATGTTTGGATTCGAAAACCTCCAGACAAACAGCTTTGAGCAGCTGTGCATCAACTACACCAATGAGAAACTGCAGTATTACATCAACCAGCACATCTTTAAACTTGAGCAAGTAGGTGTTTTTCATTTAGACACTCAGGGGTGGTTTGTGTTCATTCTTTATTTGGCACTTTTTTCAGTTCCTCTCAAAAAGTCTTAAAATATCTAGAATTTAAATCAAATTTAAAAGTCAAAATTCATGGCTTACAGGCAGATATACTCTAGTGTTTCTTGGCTTTAAGTAATCTTATAACTTGCAGGCACTATGGTTACTATTTTAGCTTTTAATCATACATCTCTTCATTGGTGCCACTGACACAAATTGATTTACTTTTATTCACCATCATTCATATTTGTTAATAAAATGTATTCCAGGAGGTTTATGTGTCAGAAGGCATCACCTGGCAAAACATCAGCTACACTGACAACAGTGACTGCATTCAGCTGATCAGGGAGAAGTCAACTGGGCTCTTTGACCTGCTGGATAAGGAGAGCAAGTAGGTGAACTTTGTTTTTCCTGCTGTCATTTCTCACATTAAACATGCAATGGTATATGTGGAAATATATACTGTACTGTATGTAAATGAAGATGTGAAAAAAGAGGAATAATTCCTTTCTTGAACAATAAATAATCAGTCATCACTCACAATAAATCTAGCTGAACTTAAATTAAAGAGTCTGTCCTAGGTTTCCTTAAAGGTCCAGTGTGTAACATTTAGAAGGATTTAATGGAAGAAATATAATATAATATGCATAACTATGTTTTTATTAAATTAAAAATCGTTGTGTTTTGTTACCCTTGAATGAGCCATTTTTATCTACGTATGCATGTCGCCTTCTGTGGAGGCCACCATGTTGAAACGCAATGTTTTTACAGTAGCCCAAACCAGACAAATCAAACATTGCCACTAGATCGGGCATTTTTCACACCAACATAGTTTCTCCTTTGCACTTGGAAGAGGAGGGTTAAGCGAGGTAGTTATAATCTCCAATTATACTGCTAGATGCCATTAAATCCTACTCACTGGACCTTAAAGCAAAACTGCAGCATTATCAAATATAAATGTATATCAAACATAACTATAACATAACATAATATATATATATATATATATATATATATATATTATAACAAACAAATTAATATTGTCCTTAAAGTTTTTTCAGTTAAAAAAGTCGGTCTTGTTTCTTTACCAGATATTACATTACTACATGTGTTGATATTGATATTCTGTCCTTCTCTTCAGCCTCCCTCAGGCCACAGATGAAACCCTGTTGGACAAGTTGAAGGAACAGCATCAGGAAAACCCATTCTTTGTGTCCTCTTCAAAAACAGAGCTCACTTTTGTCATTCAACACTTTGCTGGGAGGGTCAAATATCACATTAAGGTGGAGTATGTTTCCCACACTGCAAACGTCTTTATTCTATAAAGTAGATAATGTTTGTACTTTCCACCATTCAGCTCGACTACTACAACATAGTTGAGCTCTGCAGTAGCCTTGTTAGATAAGCCGCTGAGGGAAAATCCTTGAAAATCTCTGTGAGCAAAGTGAATGATTAATGCATCTCCCTCCACAAGAAGACTAGTGTTGCACTGTGTGAAGTTTAAAGTGGTGAATACATGTAATGAAGATCTGTAGCACCGCAGATTTCTCTCCTGTATGACTACAGAAAGAATAAAAGTAAGCAGCATGTTAATCATGATTCATTCTTCTTCTTTAATATTTAGGATTTCCGACAGAAAAACACAGAGCACATGCGTCCTGAAGTCGTGTCCCTTCTACGGACCAGTAGACGGTCGTTCCTGCATCATTTGGTTGCTTCCAGCCCAGAAGCACTGTTCAGATGGGGAGTCCTCCGAGCCACCATTCGCATTCTCACAGTATTCAAGAACATGGGACGCCACCGGGCAGAATTGAGTAGGTATCTTTTATCTTTTAGCTTTAGCTTTGGTTACTAATCAAACTGCATTTTCAGCTTCATCCAGAAATGTTCTAATGATTGTATGTCACCACAGTTGCTAGCAGAAAAAGCCCCCGCAAGTCCCTCAAAGACATGAGAATGAGCAGCAGTGCTGTGAACAGACTGTCCAGGTAAATTTACTATACTGGTGCATAGCCGACTGTATTGGCACTGACATATCTCCCTTATGTCAGTCCACTTTTACTTGATTTTCATTGTGATACAACCAAATATATTCATCAGTTAGTGAGGTAGTTGGGTAGTTAAGAGAGACCTCTGAACACATTACATATAAACTAAATCACAACAATTCACTCACTCAACAAAAACATCACACTAACTAATTAGAACAATCACAAAATAAAGACATTTAAGCTTGTAAAGCTGTAAGAGGAGTGTTTGAAACCTCAAGCTGTGTTGCAGCTCATTCCAGTAGTGAGATATATATAGTAGCGGAAACCAGTCTTCCCCAGTTCAGTATGAGGAATGAGGAACTCAACTAAGGATGTTAAATATCTCGACAACTTATAAAGTAAGGCCTTTATAAATGGAGGCACAGGTATGTTGATGCTGTCTAGATGCCAGTGATGACTAGAGATTTCATAGAACTCTTAGTGGTCATAGCTGCCTTAGGTAATGAATAGGTCTTAGTTCATTTCACAGTGGTTGGAGTCTTTCCCAGCATACAGTCGGTGGTTTCAGTCCGTTACAGGACTAAAAGTGATGGACAGACATAAAGTGTTTCCTGAAACATGAATAATATTCAGTTTGTGTACATCTTTCAAAGACAAAATGGTGACCAAGAGTGAACAACATTAGTTAACACTTGTAAACATGCATCTCAAAAAGCAAATTCACCTTAAAAATTTACTCTTTGCTGATGAAGTTAAATTACGACTATGATGTTTACAGCAACAGCCTGACTCTGGATTTCTCCTTTGATCGCTCTGATGAACTGCCTCTTGACGTATTTGAGGACATCTTCGTCAGTTATGAACAGAGAAAGTAAGTGGGCCATATGGTTTTAGTTTAAACATAGCTTAAACATAACATCATACGTTATGCTTCGCCATCTCACATTGTATTTGTAGAGCTGTATGTTAAATGGAGCCTCATTTTGTCTGTAATTTCTGCAGGAAAAGTAGAAGCGGTCGACAGAAGCAGCTCATTCCAAAGGTGAAGTGTTAGTAATGGGTGCAGTGTTGATTTAGCTCAGTGCCTCTATTTCTACATAGCTGTTAGTACATCTTAAAAGTTAATGCACATCCATTCTGTTAACCTATGTATATCCCTCCATTCATCCATGTGTCCATCCAAAGTGCTTTTGTTTTAGGAGTCAGAAAGCTCACAGACTTCTTTCTGCTTTAATAAACAGAACCTCATGGATCTGCACTCACTCCAGCATACTGTCGGTCTCACCGCGCATGACCGAACCAGCAAATTCATCTTCCACCCTCATCGGAAGACAAAGCCCCCTACAATCAGCTCTCAGTTTCAGGTTTGTCCTCTCTGTACCTTTTGTTTACTGTTATATATTGTGGTGTCTGATAAAGTGTAAACAGAGATTATCACAGCAATGTATCAAGATGCAGCTCAACAGATTTTATACTTTTTAAATTCAAGTGTTTAGTGCAAAAATACCTTTTTATACAAGGCGGCAATTGAATGGAATAAACTTCCAGTATCTCTGAAACTCATTGAAGCAAAGAGGCATTTTAAGCAGACTATAAAGAAATACTCCCTCACAATTAGGGACCTAATTTGTGTTACTAAATGGATATAAAATTTTGAAATCTTACTGTATGTTTAGTCCTTGACAGCTTGTAAATGTGTGTGATAACCCTCTTAAAAGCACTGTTATGTGCATTTTATGCTTGTCAAATAAAACTAACCAAAGTCCAACTTAAATCATGAGATACATGTGAAAGGGAAAGTTTGGATTGTGCCATTGTTTCCAATAGTGGATACACATTTTCAAATGAAACCTTTACCGATAAATGTTTAAAGATATTTATGATAGAACGTGTACTCACTGTAGTACATAAGTAGGTTTCAGACTCAGGTATCCCGAGTTTTTGCTTAAGAAATTGAGTTATTTAACAAAATTTAAAGTCAAAATGTATTGAGGTAAAGCTGTACTCTCTGGTATCCACTTTTTTGTTTAGCACATTACAAACTTTTGGACATTTTTTATTGCCGAACACCAGTGCATGCTGTCTCTAGCTTAGTCAGTAATTTCCTTCGGGATAAATAAAGCTTCTTGAATCTTGAATCTTGAATCTAACTTGTCAAATGGCTGTTTTCAACACCAAGCATCACTCACTGAGCGTATTTATCTCACAGGCCTCACTCAGAAAGCTGATGGAGACGATTGAAAAAGCCAAGCCTCTCTTTATCTTCTGCGTTCGCACCAACGCTGATAAGGTAACATCATCTGTGAGTCTGTACAATCATCCTGGTAAATGTAGTCCTACATGTTTGAGTGTGTTACACAGTTCGTCACTTCAGGAAATGTTCTGTTTTTACAGAGGGAGCTGCACTTTGATGATGAACTTGTGCTAAAACAACTAAAGCACACAGGCATCCTGCAGATGGTTCACATTCAGAAGTCTGGCTACAGTGCCAAATACACATTTAAGGTGGGTAATTGATGATTAAAGAAAATCTCTCTGGTCAACAGTTATATGAATGTATTTTATTAAAATACTGGTGCTAGGAACTAAAACTCTACACACAGTTTTAGAAACAAGTTTCCAACAAATGTATTTGAAGAAATTGAGGTCTTCTGATTAATACAGCTCGACAGTCTGAACCTCCTCTGAAGTCAAACATCATAAAGGTTGCAGAGACCCTTTAGAGTTATTGAATAGATGATTTATCAGTGATTCAGCAATTTACATATACATTTCAGTCATTTTCTAACAGAAATAATTTGATAATGTGTGTGTATATATAAATATTCCCTTTCTGTACCTGTCAATGAGAAGAAAGTTTATCTGCACTTACAGGAATTTGTTGAGAAGTTCCGTACGTTGCTTCCTAAAGGAGCTACAGGAACGCCGGAGCACATAACGGAACTGTTTGATAGGATGAAGCTGGATAAGACCACCTATCAAATAGGAAAAACACAGGTAAATATTCTGTATCATACCTGCAATTTGTTCATTAACAAATCCGACTTAAACTTGGAGTTAAAATCAATTCTAAGCCTACCAGTACATTATATGACTGTTTGTGAGCAAGTGCTGTCCTAAATTATCAAGAAAAGTCCTGGAAACTGCTTTATTTTCACTTTTAGGAGAACATGTCATGAATCACAGAACTCTGTCACTTACTAAAAAGTCATTGCAGATTTCATGCTGTACAAAAAGTCACATAACCAGTAATGCATGTACTGAAATATACTGCAGATTACACATCATCATGTGTATGCCTCTCTTTCAACTACTCAGGTGTTTCTCAAGGAGAAGCAGAGGCAACTGCTCCAAGACACTCTTAACAAAGAAGTGATGCGTCACATCGTCATCCTGCAGCGCTGGTTCCGCACCTGTCTGATAAGGTTGCACTTCCGGCAGAAGAGAGATGCCACCATGATTATACAGGTACCATTTATAATATAAAACACTATAACATGGAATAAAAATCTCCTCATTGGACACTGCCAGACAATAAAAACATTCATCTCCTAACAGATTTCCAAGAATGTTGTAGAAAGTCAGTCTGTGCCTCCTAAGTATCGCAGCAAAAATAAGAAATAAAATATTACAAAGAAGAAATAAAGAACATGACAGCAAACTGAAGTTGACGGAGGATTTCTGATGTTTTTCAGAGGAGCTGGCGTGAGTTTTATGAGAACCAAAACCGAGCTGCTACAGTGATCCAGACAGCCTGGAGGAGTTCCCTGAAGAGGCCACAGAATGAGCAAGAGGATGACGAGAAGACATCCAAAACCCGGCCTGGACGGGACAGGTACACACACCACTAAACATATAGTGCCCTTTCATTGTAGGAATGGAATAAAATGTCACTTTAGTAGAGTTTAACTTGTTTTTAAAGGATGTAAACAAGCAACATGATTTTAAAACAGAAGCAACTCACTTTGTATTATAGCACCTGGAAATTGAAAGTGTGAATATAGTGTCTATTTTGTTAACATAAAATGGTACTGGTGTACTGGGCTAATGTGCAATGTTCAAGTGCACCACCCGACTAAAATACAGCACCTACCTATTCCACACTCTCAATATCATATTTTGCATTAGGCGTGTTTATCTAGCAGTGAATATTGTCTTCAGGGGCCTGTGTGCAGGTAGACTATTATTCAAAGACAATATTATGAGCCAATAAAACAAACACATAACGTTAACATACATAAGAATCCCTTAAATTTTAGATAAGATGAGCACTACACTGCATACATTTTACTATTGAACAAAATTTATTGACAGTGCTCTCTGGTGGCCAATTATTATATAGCGCAGACATTTCTTGTTACCCATGTACATACACATGATAATGATGTGTGAAAAGAATTAAAACCAATAGTAAACCATCACCATTTATATTATGGATACAATTGCTGTCATGTCGTCCTGATTTCATCGTTTTTACATAACAGCTTGTCAAAAAAGGATTTAAAGAGGCAGAGCAAAGTGGAGCTCAGCCCCAGCAGGAACCAGCAGGACCAACCGAGGTCCAGGAGCAGGGAGAAACTAGAGGGCAGAGGATCCCCTCCCCCTCTCAACAGACCCCTCTCCCTCCCACTGGACCCAAAAGTTGGCAGTAATGATGACTCCACCAGCCACTCAAAGAGCAGCCCGCTTCAGCGCTACAAACATGTTGGGGGCATCAAGGAGAAGGCAGAGAGGTGGAGGGAAAGACAGAGCGATGATTCAAGTCCAGAATTGCGGCGACGAATAGACAATAAGAAAGATGATTTTCAGTAAGCATCTAATATATCTATATATATATATAT